ATAGGTTTTAAATATTCTTTTTTACTGTATTCCTTGAATGGTGCCAAGGAGTGTAGGGGTGGCCTTTACAGGTCCTGCATTTAACTCTTCTTAGCAAAGAGAGATGTATGTCATGCTTCCTATATTGTAAATCTTGTAACCCACAAGTCTAAAATTATAATAATAAATAATAGCGTGATAGCCAATTGCTTCTTCAAAAAAAAAAAAACATTGGTTTCTTAACCAGCAAAGTAAACAAAAGCTACCACTTGTTTTATTTTTCTTTTCAAAATACTTTTCTTATTTATTTTTGTGACCAAATACAAGAAACCTACCTAAAAGATCCATAACAAGAACACCTTTACAGAAAGAAAACTAACAAGAAAAAATACTCACCAAAGGCTTTCAAAAGATTTAAGAATCTAGAGAAACAAGAATAAAGAAGTCTTTAATCTCCCTATCATCTTCTTGACTTTCCACTTTTTTTTTTTATGCATGCTTCCTTTTTTTTAGTTTTTTTGAAAAATTTTACCTACCTTAGTTTGACCCTGAATTTTTAGTTATACCAGATTTCCTGAAAGATAATTGATCAAGGTTGTGGATTGGTTGATCATGTTAACTACAGAAAAAGTAAACAAGACACATATTCTTTATGTGTTCCAGTCACACAATACTAAACTGACAATGTGATTAGTTTCTGAAAGAGTTGAACAGTTTTTAATTAAAAGAGTAGTATGGAAGTATTAGGTGAAGTTGAAGTTATATATAGAAAAGAAGCAATATCTTTTTGTTCCTATCCTTTTATTTTCTTTTTCTTTCCTATTTTTTCTTGAAAACAGAAAGTAGCAACAAGATTTAGATCCTATTCCAATCTGGTAACAAGTTGAAGTACTAATATTTATTTCAAAAATAGTTGGAAAAAAAGATCTTGAAACTATTTATTAGTTGAGTGAAGCAATAATTTCAGAAGATATGACTTGGGAAAAAAATTAATAATAGAAAACCAACATTCTTTCTGGTTAAAAGTTTTCAAGCATAAAGTCTCAAAAAATACTCTCCTGGAAGTGCACTTAAATATTCTTGAATATTGACTATTTCAATAAAAATTAAACAGTCTGACTGGTTACAGATAGTAAAAAGTGAAGAATCATAAGAGCTTGAATTTTGAAGTTTATAGAAATAATCTTTTTAATAATAATTAGAATAGATAATAGCTTTTTTTTCTTTTTTTTTTTTTCAAAAAAATTTTTTTTTATTTTTTTTTCTCTTGTGTAGTTACTACAAGAGAAGGTGACATAATTTAGATTTATGGTTGTGACTATAGAATTGATTTGCAGACTGTAATCCTCATAGCATAACTGAATATTAATTCTAACTATCAGGCTAGTAATGTATTACTCCCATAAATCATATCTAGAGGCTTTGACTATCGACGAGTGATTTGGATCAGGAAAATTTATATTTTGCAAGTATTCTCAACTTGTAATAGTTTTTTATAATTTAATAAATAAATAATACCAACTTGATTGTGGGATTAAAAAAAAAAATTAAATAAATAAAAATTAAATGAAATGATATATTCATTTACAGGTTTAATACAACATATTTAAAAACAATTTTTATTTTTATTAATAGATATAAATAATAATAATAATAAATTATGTAAAAACAAAATTATAAAAAAAATCATTAATAAAAAAAATAGATAAAATTATTAATTGTAAAAAATTTTATTTAATAATAATTTTTAAAGTCTTATTAGTCATGGGACATTTTGATTCTATTGTCATTACACACAATATAAATTGTATTATAAAAATGGCATTTTAGTCTTGGTTAAGGGGAAATGTTCTGTAACTGTTATATTATTTAGTTTAAAAACTTATATGATATAAAAAATAAAAATAAAATGTTTTTCAAAGAAAATTAAGTATTTATCCTTGACTATAAACTGTTATAATACTTGTTGACAGAAATAGTGATCCGGATGTGTGTGTACCTTCCGATCACGTGATACACAAGTGATAGCGGCTTATCAATTTAACGGAGTTTTTTTTATTATATAGTATAACTCATTTGCAATTAATGTCCTTCGGACAATTAGGAGTTGGATTTTTGGGTCATGATCATGACAAAATCTTTGGCATGATAGCGATCAATAGTTATGGTACGATCATGTATTTACTGTATAAGCTGATTTAAACGAAGGAATGTATAAATAGGGGATGTTGTTGCATGTGTTAGGATAGTCCTTTGGACTTTAAATGGTTCCCATTTACCTAGTTATTATTAAATATGAGGCGTTTGTGAAACCATCATTTTGATTGGAGGATTATAAATAAATAGATAAGATGCATCGTACGCGTCACGTAAAATCTCATTAAAAACATAGATATCCCGCCTTCCTCAGGACCTTCCTCAAGACCTAATAGAAATTGTGATATAAAATCGATTTAATCTTGAAGAAGGTCAAATCACGCCACAAGGTTGTGAGGAAGGTCACATCATACCACTACGAAATAATAATTCAACTAATCAATAATGTAATACAATACCTTCAACTAGTAGCAGGGAGACACGTCAGGTAGAAAATGTATCAATTATAAAAATATCATACGCGTTGTCATTGCTCACGAAATGTTTATTACTTTATAAGATTGAGTTTTCAAGGAGACTTCGAAAAAGGAAGTCTATAAATTATTCGGAACTTGATCTAAAGTCAGATTCTATAATAGAATCTGATAAACACTCGGATCAAGAGAGTAAAAGAGTAAATACGAACATCAGAATACTTATATTAAATTATGTTAATTTAGCGAAAACCCAAGAAATCGGAGAATTAGTCTGTTATTAAAAAATTTTTATACACTATACTTAATCACAAGTTATCATTAGCTTTAATAATGATAAAATATTGTAAAAAAAGATCCACGTCAAGATTCGAGTAAGCTTTTTATTTTAGATCAATCTATAAATCTCGTTTATGTCAATTTTAATATATTTTTATACAGTTCGGCAAACAGCTATATCCTGGATCTTACATCCGATTCCAACTTTGGAAATGAGCTTAAATCGAACAATGGGCAAAGCTTATGACGGACCGATCAGAGATATTATCTGATCGGTCCACCCGATAAAGAAATTGTGATATATTTGAAGTTTTAAAAATTTAGTATCGGCAAATTTCGTAAAAGATGGAGCAATTTAAGGTCCTTGAAGGTTCCACGTGATCCAAGTTTCTCCTATAAAAAAATAGAATGGATGAATATTTTATACTGGGTTGAATCTTCCGTCAAATCATTGTAAGTCTTTTTATATGTTTATATTATTTTTAAAATCAATTTTAAATTTTTGAATAATAATACATTAATTCTTTTAGTCTAGATGCCTTCGAGTGTTCCATGGAAAGTTTATACAGTGAACCCTCTCTAAACGCACTCCCCTCAGGATCATAGAAAAATTCTTAAAAGATGTGCATTTATAGAGAGAAAATATAGTAAGTGCATTTAAGGAGGGTTTTCTATATTAATTTGGTTTTCTTATTAAGATTCGAATAATTTAATTTTCTTATGAATTATTTTTGTTTTCTAGGGGTAGGTTACAGTAACTGCCACGACTTTAAGAAAAAATATATTATAATATCAGCTTGAATGGATCATATAAAACGAGACTCCGATAAATATCATCTTGCATGAATGCTAAAAGATATGTTGGATGATATGCAACAAGTGTTTTCATGTGAAAACAAATGCATATCAAATCTTTACACTATTGGTATTCAGGTACATTGAATATTAAACCAATTTTCGAATTAGCAATATAAGACGGAAATAAATATATATGATGGAGAAACGTGATATATATCGACTTCATCTTTTAAAATCATTTGATCTACCTCAATCTTATCAACACTGACAAATTACGTCTTGCTCTTTCATGGGCATGGAATGTTGAGGTAAACATTATTTTTTTATTTTACTTATTATTTGTAAAGAATTACTTTGTACATTATCACGTATTAATAAAGATCTGTCACTTCAAATAGATAGAATGGATTCTGTTTCTCATAAAATTCCAAAAAATTCATTACCTGAAATGAAAACGGATACCATACCGGAGAATTCAAGAAAAAAAAAGATTGTCGGAAAGAATTAACTGTAAAATAAAGATATGGATGTATGTAAAATTGTAAATATCACATTACTTTTGCATCTGATATAATTAAAAAAAAATTTTTTTCTAATATCTTTCTTGAGTATTAGGTTTTTTTTTTACAAGGTAAATAAGTATACATAATAACATAAATAACATCTATTTAGTTAAAAGTTATAAGTAATTAAAGATTTGCGAGAATCATGTTTGTAATTAATCTTAATGTTTCTATATCAGGTTTGGCATAAACGATAATGCACTTATAGTATGTAGTTTTGAAACATGAATTGGAAAAAACAAATACTGAAATTTCTACCTACGTAATAGTGACCGTACAATAGAACATATAAAATAAGTAATGCTTATGCAGTATCAATGTGCTTTTAAAGCAAATCGGTGTCAGAAAGGAAACAAATTGGAGTGTCCGTGAATATCAATTTGTACGACATATAAATGAGAATGTCGCACACGACTACGTCTAAAGGTCTTCTCAATTTCTCTTGCTGGCTGTCATGTTTAGCCCCAAAGAAAAATCACCTTCAAGTTTCGAAAGTGCGAGTTCCTTTACTAGCGAGGGTTCCGACTATTTCTCTCCAGAGAAAAGCGATGCTTTGACGTTAGAATATCCTGAGGAGTACGAACAAAATTGTTTGCTTTTTCCGACTTATGCCACAAAACACGTATGCAATGAAGATAGTAAGTGAGAATCGCAAATTAAGTTCACAAAATCGATTCGATCCGATGCATGGATGTAATTCATGATGATAATGCTTATTCCTTGTAAAAATTTAAAGAACCGGAATTGACCGATAATTGGAATATCCGTGCCCGTGGATGGGCCTTTTCTACACCGAGATCAAGCAAGACTCGTGCGCTTTTCTTAAGTACGTATATTTCTTGTTCAAAAATTGGGCGAAACGCATTAGGAGAAATAACTGAATGGTTTTTCATGATAAACAGAAATAACGTCGTTGGTGAATAAAATTCCCAAAACCGATTCGAGATATGAACATCTTCAGTCTCGAACGCCGCTTTTTTGGGCTAGTAATCTTGACAACAAGGAATTCTTTGTTGAGGTGGTCGGCTTGACAAAACCACAAAAGATGACTCTCGATGGCGATCCTAATGATCCACTTGCAGAACAAATTGCTGAGAGCTTTATGCCAGAAAAGGCGGTGAAATTTATGGAAAATATTCGTCAACATTATCATGGGAATACTCAGATGGGCGACGAGACATATAAAACCCAGGTTGTGTCGAGTTCGGGATGTTTTTCTGGGGATATTGTAATTCCACAAAAGACGGTACGAAAGTGGCTAAAAGCAAGTGATGTTGACAGTTCTTGGAATATGCTCAAATTAGAGGTTTATCAAAATGAAAATGGTGAGTCACCTTTGTAACACGAAGTATTAAGGATGTCGATTTCTAACGGTTTCTTATGTTCTCTTGCATTCAAATTAAAGCTAGACCAGCATTTGGCGTGGTGAACCTGATAGAGCCCACAGGTGTTTCTGTAATTTCGGTAAATAAACGGACATCATTTATTTAATGCTCAATTGAAAACTATAGTAACCGAATTTTTTTTTTTTGAAGGATATTGATGATACGATCAAGGAAACGGCAATCTTGGCTGGACCAAAAACCATATTTCTGAACACTTTTCTGCAACCTTTTAAAGAAGTGAGTTCTTTTGTACGACAGGTCTTGCTTTTGAATATTACTTGATTTAATATATATATATATATGTGTGTATTGAAAAGGTCCCTGGAATGTCGGAGCTTTATCGATATTGGGTAAGAGTGCTCTTGATAGCTGAGATGAATCAAAATTCCGACAAGTGATAGATCCGAAGCACTTACATTTATCATTTATTACTAATACAGTATGACAAAGGGGTGGTGTTTCATTACGTATCGAATTCTCCTTGGCAACTGTTTCCAGCATTGCGAAGTTTCTTTCAAGAGCATAATTTTCCTCAGGGTTCTGCACACCTTAAATTTTATGAGTTGATCAAGAGTGCCCGTGATCACAATAAAGGGAGTTCAACTGCGAGTAAAAAAAAATACATAACAGAACTATTAAAGGTAGGTGAACACATGCGAACAATGTGTTTACTCATGAGCTTTCTCTCGCCCTGTAAAGTCACCTAAACTCAAAATCATCCTATAAATAAACAAATAAAGGATTTTCCCGAAAGAAAATTTATTCTCATTGGTGACACCGGAGAACGTGATCCAGAGCTGTAAGTGAAACGGAATCCGCTTTACACATTTTTTTTTTTTAATCTATTCGCTGATTGAATTGTAATTTTAAACTAGGTATGCCGAAATTGCGGAGGAATATAAGGACCAGATTATCCGAATCTTTGTTAGAGATGTCAACACACCGCATCTAAATAGTCAACCAGATACGCAAAGAGCAGTATCTTATACTAGAGCATTCAAATATTTCAAAAAAGTGTATTCTATTTATGGTGATGGAAAAGAGAATGGAAAAGAAACCGAGATGGTATCGGTGACTACGGAATCAACCACGTCCGAACTTTCCAACACCTCTTGTGTTACTAGGAGTTATAATATGGATGAGAAGAACCCTCCTCAACCATCTCCCAATCGCCTTAATCTTAGAAATATCATATCTTCCACCATTACCAATGTAAAAAATACAGCACGAACTCCAACCGATGAAACAGGAGATTCGTACGATCCAGGAATGATGATGGAAACGGAATCAAACATCTCAGAAGACATGTTCTCTGCAGATTCAGATGAAGACAAGCCTAAATCTCCCAGGGATTCAAAAATAGAATCATTTAATAAGAGAATAAGAGATTTACAGGAAAGATTCGAAGAAGGGTTCTTTTCAACTTTCAGTGATCCAGACGAATTGAGGAATGATCCTATCATTAGAAAATACCTTAAAAATTAAAAATTGAAGTTCATTGACACATAGAGACTATCATTTTATTTTGTGTACCATTAACTTTGTTATATTATACTGTATACTATTTAATATCTAGTTTTTTTTTTTACCAACCATTATCTTGTACTTTAGAAGGTCTTCCATTCATGTGATGATAAGATAATATAAAACTTAATGACATCATCCAAAAAATAAATGTTTTCATATCTGCCATCGATCTAGATGTTCTTTGATGAACTCGCGTGCGTATGGTAAAAAAAAAAAAAAAAAGCTGTGTGCATAAGCACATGCGTGAAATGATATATAATATGGTGAGCCATGAGATACGTATCTGCAATAAAGCCCCAGAAGGAAATTCTAAAGATCGACAGCACTGGTTATTTTTGGAAAAAGTTTTACCTTGGAATTTCTCTTTGACGAATGAACTTGGCTGCCAAGATTTTGGAATGAGTTGTCAGATCATGACGCCCACCATTCTCCGGTTAAATTGATTAAAATGGAAAGATGCCCAGACTTATCATGATTCACTTGGCAGCGAATGTGCTCTTTCCTGTCTAGCATTCACTGGAATATCGGGTGATCGTCATGCAATTCATGTATCGCGACAATACAGACGACTAGTAACACAAATTACATAAATAATGGGATTCGATCTATTTTAAGATTTCATTTAAACAGAAAATCTTTGACAAAACCTTTTTTATTAGTTACTTACGCAATAAACGTTTTGCATCTTCTTTATATTGTGGAATGGCGTTACAATTAGACGGCAACATCAAGAATTATAATTTCGTTCGGTCAGCCGAGACAAAAGGTGAAGTTGAAATCCAAGATTCCGTGTCTCACGATGTTTTATTCAAGAAGATTAGGCAAATGGTAGTTTTACCCACTGTCAAACTATTGATACTGATTTAGGGAATCCCGAAATAACGTATTTCTAAAAATTGGTTTTTCTCCTTTTATTTTTACATTCGCATGCAGTCTACCGAAGCTTATCATTCTCAAATAATCGATCCAATACCCGAAGTTATCCTTGTCGAAGTAGAAGGAAGAAGTTCGAAAGATAAGTTAAAGAAAGTCAAGCTGTATCAGGTGTGTAATTTTGATCTTTGTGCACAGTCTTGACAATTTACCCTAAAGACCCATATTAATGAATTTGTTTTTTTTTTAATCATTCATATTGGAACTAGCCCGACGATGTCCTTGAATTAAAAGACACCGGAATATTGGGATTCGAACATAAATTTACATGGGAGGGAGAAGTTTATGTCTGGAGGAGACGAAATCTAGGGTTTTCCAGAGAGATAGAATGTAAAATGGTACACGGCGACGATCCAGGTATAGGAGTCGCCATCTTTAAACCCGAGAAAAAGACTATCGGACACATGACCATAATGTACTATAACCTAGAGCGAATTGGGGTGGAGGATAAACGTGGATTGGAATATGTTTTATTGATAACCATGTTCTCATTCTTGGACAAGTCGGAGGATGAAAATTCTGGTAAAAAAAAAAATGAAGTGGTTGATGATTCCAATGTGGTGATAAAAGACGAATCAAAAGAGAACAAGAAGAAAAAGTGGAAAAGAGAGAAAAAAAGAAAATCATCGGAAAGTAAAGAAGCGACAGAGAAAAGGTTGGCCGAAGAGAAGAAACGAGAAATGGAAAAGAAGGAAGAGGAAGAAAGATTACGCGCGCAGGAGGTCAAACAACAGGAAACACTAAGAATATTGAAACAAGAAAAGGAAGATCAAGAATATGCGAGAAAATTGTTGGTAGAAGAAGACAGAATATCGTCAACCTATAATCCGAGAGACATTTCTCACAATTCACCATCCTCCTCGGCAAATCCAAAATTTCGAAATGGCGGTTTCCATAATTCAACATATGTGGAACACCAAATGCCATCCTCTTCACCGGCAAATCAACAACCTCGAAACGGTGATTTTCATAATTCAACATATATGGAACGCCAGATGCCATCCTCCTCATTAACGGATAGTCGAAATGCCGATTCAACGGGAACGGTATATCCTTCAGAAACCGGTTATAGCAATACATACTATGATAACCCTGTCACAAGCACCAAACTCAACTCTGAAGACTCCAAACCTGTGACACCGATTCCAAAGCGGAAAAAGAAACCCAGAGAGTATAAGAACGAATACGGATGGTAAAAACAGGCTAGGTGTTAAGGAAGGATTGCGGGATCAGACTTATTGATGTTGAAAATTGGTTGGTTGGTTTTTGTGTATTACTTTTTGAGCACACATATATATTTATTCATTAGATCTTTGTAGTTTTCCAATTGTTATGTATAATTCTTTGCATTCCCATTAAATATTACTTACATACAGATTTTTTTTTTTTTTTACTTTCTTTACTCGTGTAGAATTGAATTTCACAAGTCCCATACTTTTTTGTAAATCACTAATTTAAGCGTAAAAATTGATTATAAAAATAAAGTAATTGTACTTTGTTTCTTTAGAGTTGTTAAACTATAAAATCAACCAATGTGTTACGTATGCACAAACAAAAAGATGGCCATCGCCGTGGCGAAAATGAGACAATCTACATCTATTATCAATTCTCCAAGGAGCACTCAAAAAAAAGTGATACCAAAGATGCACAGCACAGCACGTATGTACGTACAACGTGTTTATCAACACTTAATCACCAAAAGATCATCGAAATAATGTATAGAAATAACAGGCATTAAAAAAAAAGGTTCCAATAAACTTATCACCTCTAAATGCTTAGACCAAAAATTTTTTTGACGTTTACCCATCTATTATTGTGGAGATAAAATGACCTGATCTCATTTCATTTTCATGGGTTCCAAAAAGAGATTTGTTTTATCCCTATTGCGGCGATTGCAACATGAGTAACACATAAAGATTATATAAGATTATTCGATTAGCCAATTAAAGTTTTGATCGCTTATCAATGTTATTATTGAGTTGACACTTCAATTTTTTCACACATCAGATCACAAAAATCAAAATTCCCACTTCAAATTAACGAAGAAAAATCAAATATCTTGACAAAACTTTGATAATAAAATGTCGGCCCTTATCCGTCTCTTTAGATCCGGAAGAACATCGAACCATCAATATGAAACGATCCCCGATGGTGGTCACAATGAAACTCATTTTGAGTCGCCCGAAGTTATCAGAGATATTGTCATGGGACTCAGTGACGGTTTGACGGTAACTCACGATTCGTTGATTCAGAACAAATTATTTCTCTCCGAGTCAACTTTACTACAAATGTCTATTAGGTACCGTTCGCTTTGGCCGCTGGTCTATCTTCTCTTGGAAATTCCCGTCTGGTCATAATGGGAGGCCTTGCAGGTTAAACACGTTGTTCGGTTATTTCCTTTTGGATAATCATTCCAAGTCTCTATAAATACATAACACGTTTTTTTTTTTCTTGGAAAAAAAATTAGAACTCATTTCAGGTGCCATTTCGATGGGTTTGGGCGGTTACCTGGCAGCTCGCTCGGAAGCCGATCACTACGTTAGCGAGAGATCGAGGGAAATCTGGTAGAGCTTTGGCTTTCATGTTATGTTTGCACATGAAAAAAAGCGATCACGTTCTTTAACAACCGACCATCTGAAATTTTCAAGGGAGGTCGAAAACTGCTTTGAAGACGAAGTACAAGAAATCATTGGTACGTCTTACCCATTTTCAAATGTGATTCACCGAAGCCTCTTATACTTACCCCTCCTTACCATCAGATATTCTGTCACCTTATGGATTGGATCCGAATACCTTGGCACCTATTATTGAAAAGTTATCATCAAATCCCGAAAGATTTGTTGATTTCATGATGAAGTTTGAACTAAACCTTGAGAAACCTGATCCATCCCGAGCATGGGTGTTGTATCAACATACACTCCTCAAACAATCGCATTATTGATGTCCGCGAATTATGTATTAATTCTTTTCGATGTCATTCCCAGAAAAGTGCCTTCACAATTGGAACTTCATATTTCATCGGTGAGTTTGATTTTTCAAGTTAACCACCGATGCGTTGCAACAGTGGTATTAACTGCGACTCGTAATTAAAGGGGGACTTGTGCCGTTGTTGCCATACGTATTTATTGAAGATTCGATGATGGGCTTGTACGTGAGTTGCGTTATAACCCTGATATGCTTAATAATCTTTGGTTTTGTCAAGGCACTATTCACAGCACCAAATAAGGCATTTTGGACTGCCATACAAACTGCGCTTATTGGTGCTATCGCCGCCGCCGCTGCTTATGGGGGAGTGAAGTTACTCGAAAATTTTCAATGAATTTCTGGGATAAGCCTTGAGAAAAGTAGTAATATGTCGGATTTCATAATAATTTGGGTTCACAAATCACGTAATATTGAATCTCTTTATAAAACTATTCATGTTGCATGTATAACAATTAAAAAAGAAAAAATCATTTTTTTGCTCATCTAAGACCACTAAATACATTACATTGCATGCTTTTTTTTAACTTTCTTTATGGATCGCATGTGTGAACATTGTTGGCGAGTTTCTTTTACTTTGATCACTCGGCGTGAATTACATATTGACCACATGATCATAAATCTAATAGACTTAAAATTAATTAATCCATGAGTGCAAGATTAAAAACCAAAAATTTCAAATTTCGTACAATTCAATTATTAAATTAATAAACATTATTTAAATGTGGAATTTAATATAAAAAAATTTTATAAAAACTTGTATCATTAGTAATGCATGTGATTTTACAAACCGAGTCATGAAAATTCAAATTCAATTCCATATCCCGTAATTATTATAATCGATCAATCAATTCGATACTGTAATTAACGTTAATATACAATTTCAATTATATTAATCAATCTTTCATTAAATAATTACTGTAATTAATAACAATTTCTTTTTTTTTTTAATAAACACTTTGAAATAACCCATGTGTATTTTAATGCCATCCAAAAATGTTTATAAGATTCGAATTGAAGTTTATCAATTTAATTTATTGTCTAAATGAAACTCTTGTACAAAAATGCATGAAATGTAATTTTTTTCATTATTGCATTTTAACATGAAATTATTTTATTTTTGAAAATTTTTTTATCAACTTGCAATTTGAATTTAATTAATAAATTATCCATTCAAGTGTATTAAACTTTTTGTATAGAAATTTTATAAATGCAATAAATTTTTTTAAAAAAAAAAGTTATTAAAATCAATATTTGTAAAATATAAAAAAATCAATATCTATATAAAATAAAAATTTAAGACAAAAAAAAATAACGTTAAATAGTTAATTACGTATTATATTATAAACAAGAAAATAATTGGTTTTTATCAATAAAAAATTTTTTATATTATTTGATTACTATATACTATTTTAATTAAACAAATAATTTTATTCAAGTTAAAGATATATTTGTTTAAATAAAAAAAATATAAATTTTTACTTAAAAATTTTTTTCTTGTTTCAAAAGATTTCATTTCTAAAAAATTAAAATAGTATTAGTTTAATTAAAAAATTTAAGATTTTTTGTAAGTATCAAATCTTGTTGACTTTAAATTTTATACTTGTTTTTTTTATAATCCATAATTATATATCAAGTTAATAAAATATATAAAAAAATTATTAAAAATAAATTTTAATTAATAGTATTAATTATACAAATAAAAACTTAAAAACTTTTTTTACCAATTTTTTTATTATCTTAAATAAACATTTTCAAAATATCTATATATTTATAATGATAAAGTTTATACTTTTTTTAATAATATTAATTTATTACAAGTGATAATCATTATTTTTAAAATAGGTTTTTTTTAAATTTTTGTTTTTTTATTTTATTTTATTTTATTTTATTAACTTTTTAGTTTATTATTACTTTATTTTAAAATAAATATTCAAATTTAAAAATATACAGTATATGTTTAAAGATTATAGATTTCTTTAAAAAAAAAATTAATTTTTTTCAAAAAAACTTAATTTTAAAAAAATCAAAATTTATTATTTCAATTTAAAAATTTAAAGTTTTTTTATAATAACAAATCTTTAAGTTTTAAATATATATTTCTATAATTAATAATTATATATCATGTTAATAAAATATATTGCTAATACTAAAAAAATTATAACATATTAATTAAATTATAACATGTTAATTATCTTTGTAATGATAAATAAATCTATATTAAAACATATCATATAACCAAATAAACAATATTCTATTAAATATAAAATTAAGAATTTTCAATATTTATTAAACTGAAATGCTATAATATTAAAAAAACTAAAAATATTATCATATTATATTGATATAAAATTTTTATTTTATTTTATTTTTTGAATTACTAATATAAATAAAACTGTCAACTTTTGTTTATTTTTTTTAACTATATATAAGCTCAAGTCACAATTCAAAACCCAAACATCATATTATTCTTCTTACTATTATTAGTGAGCAGGCATGTGTAATTAGCATTATAACCAGAAACTAACTAACTATTATTTATCATTTTTTTTCTTTTCTTGGATTCTTAAAATTTCACATATGTCAACTGCATTTTTGACAAATTATAATTAATTTACTTTGTAAAGATTATTGATATAATAATAGTAAATTATTATTAAAGTTTAATAAATTCCTTGCATCTAATGCTTGTCAATATATGTATATATATAGTCTCATTATCAACTTATTCATATATATTATTTTATATACAGTATTACAAGTAAACCAAAAAAAAATTTTTTTTTAAACTAATATTTCTTTTCGTTCCTAGAAACGATACATTTATATCATTTTATTAATTCGCTTTAGGGAATTAACAAATAAATACGATTGCCTTTTGCCACTTAAATAGCTCTCTACAACATAATATTATACATGTAAATATCAAGTTTAGGTTCTCTTTGAATTAAAGATCTTATTCTAAAGGTAGATGAATTTTTGTGAACATGAAGTTTTTGCCACGGCAAAATAATGGGTTTCAGTAATGTATAACAACGTGTGATTTGGTGATGTTGTAAGTATTGATAAGTTAGAATGCATAACTTGCAATTAAGAAATTCACATTACCGTAAATCTTCAAAGGATAATCGAGTGGAAATATAACAAACTATATTGTACAAATAATAAATAATTGAAAAAATCATAATATTCATTTTCCTTCAACGTTGTAAGTTCACGATCATAAAAGCCCCCAGGAATATGTGAAGGTAAAGACAGTGCTAGCCAGACATAATAACCCCCAAACCCACAAAGAACCTATACCGTTGCCACTAACACCCAATCCATACAAAATAGGTGTAGGCTGTTGAGTCGGATCGGGAGTGGTTGTGCCAGCACCGGCGGTAGTAGTATCAGATTTTGTTGTTGTAGTTGTTGGAACTGAAGGCAAAGGCGGGGGTGATGTACCGGAGGTGAAACTAACTGATAAAATGAATTTCAACTCAATATTCTCAGGATTGGATACGGCTAAACATAATATATCAGTGCCGTTAAACGGGGGATCTTTCGATTTTGTGCAACGTGATTGTGGTCCACCATCAAAACATGATAGGTCTGCGAAGTAATAAGAAGCTGGTCGAGTTTGGTCGATATATAGCTGAATGCCCGTGTAATTTGTGGCATAAGTGAGTAAACCAAATTGATTATATTGGATAGGGTGATTTCCTTGAACAACCGTGCCAAAATTTGAATTCTCCGATTGTGATGTGTTCACCTGTTGCATGTCATAACCTGCATTTAACGTTTGTAGATGTTTTATAAATGCTGAAAACGGCACTTCGGGTATCAATTCAAACATCAAAAATATTTATCAGAAATATTACCTATATAATTTGTTTTAACCCTGCTGCAAATATACCAGGTATAAAATGCTGGTAATCTACCAACGCCGCTATAAGTTTCTGTTCCTTGCGCATTTATTGAAGCGTCCTGTCAAACAACCAAGAATAAATTAGTATAAATTAGACGCGGCTAGCCGTTCATTTCTATATACCCTCTGTTTACTAAGGTCTCTAATCTAACCTACCTCTAACAACAATAAAATTATTGAAACTACCAGAGTGCATATTAAGCTGGTTAACTTCATGCTGCAAGAAAAAAACTAGCGCGTATTAATTTGGAAGTTCTATTTATATTGTATTAAATCACATGATTACATATTTAAATAGTATTTATCGAATTATCGAATTACTTAATTTGTATATACCGTATAAATATAAATATCGTAAGGTAAAAAAGCCTTAAATTTTAAGATAGCGATAGAAATTTTATTTTTAAAAATACTTAAAAATCTTAAATATTAATTGTTTTTTTTTTACAAGTATTTAATGCAAGGTTTTTATATTAAACTTGTATAAAATAATTATTTTTTTTTTGCAAAGTTTTATTTTATTAAAAAGTGGTAAAACTATCACTAACTTTTTATTGCTAATAACTCAAGAAAAATACAAATTAGAATTAGAATAGTATCCAACTTCTATATTATTTCAATATGGGCTTATTGATTATCTAGATTAAATTTGATCAATTTACTACTTTTCTATTATATAAAATATATTATTGTATAATTAATTTTAATAATTATTAAATTTAGATATATTATACAGTAGAAGACAAAAAAAACTGCCTAATTTTTTATGTGATTAAAATTAATATAACATGTCCTTATATTAATTTGACAATGAACCATATTTTATTTTGTAATGATAAGCATCTAAGTTTTTTTTTTCCAACTACACACATCCCAGTATGTTTTGGCTTATTGATAAAACATATTGGTAAAATATCAGCTTCCAAAAAAAAAAGTCAATGCAAAGTTCTTTTGTATTATTGAAATGAAGGAGTGTACAATATCCAAGAATTACATTTGATGACAAAGATCCCTATCAGAACAATATGTGACAACATCAAAAAATTAGAAAAAACAGGTACAAATACTGTACTTATACAAAAGGCAATAGGCAATCAAAAAAACTTATCGAAACTGCAATGCGAGCAATAAGTCAATACATTCACAATAACCCTTTAATTTTGGCAAAAGCTATAGTTATAAAACTAATGAAGAAAGAAGTTAGGGTCTCTTATAAGACAGTTCAGTGATATTTGATGAATGCTGGATATAAAAATAGTCTTCCTAGAAAGACCCCAATGCTTATTGAGACTCATAAGCAAGCATGTGTTGAATAGTAACTCAAACATGCCAATGACAATTGAAAAAAAATGCTTTTTTTCAAATGAAACAGCCCTTTAGCTCTTCTGTAATATGATAAAGTATTGGTACGAGAGTCAAAGACCTATCCATTTATTTCAAAAGATCGTAAAAAAATTATGGCATGAATGAATTTTTTTAAGAAAAAAAATCAAGATTATATTGTTTCCAAGAAACGATAAATACTAATTTTTATATCAATATTCTTCATAAACACATGTTCGAGATAAAGAAGAAACTTGGTACTTGTTGATAGTAGTAACGGAATAACGATCCAAAACATATGAGCCATCTCACCAAGAATTTTCTTTAAGAAAGCATGTCAGAAATTATAGATTGACCATTCAACAGTTCTGACTTAAATCCCATAGACCCTGATCAAAAGAAATATGAAAAAGCATATGTTGAAAATTTGTATGAGTTGAAATATTATATAATCAAAAAATGAAAAAAATTCACAATTTACTTTTAAAATATTTGATGATGTTAATGGAGTGGAAGTATCAAGAGGTAATTAAGAAAAATGGCAAATGTATATTATATTAATTTTTTTAGTGATAATAAAATAAGACTTGACGTATCTACATTATAAATTATATAATGTTTTATATAGTGTTCATTTGTTATTACATGATTTATAAAGGTAATTTTTTTTGTTTCCTACTGTATATTATCAAAATTTTATTATTATAAATATTTGTTATATACATGTATATATATATATATATATTTAAATTTAAAAAAGTATTGAAGTAAGATCTATAGGTCTATAGTATAGTGGTAATACTCCATAGGTCATCAAAAGAAGGTCTAAAGTTCAAACTCACCTGGTTACAAAAATTTATCACCTTCATTATTGATTAATCAGCTTTCAATACATGTCATATCCAATCAGTCAAAAATCATTTACCAAATTAAGCTAGGCTACATTAAGATAGAATCTTTGGTCTTTTTGATAATCGTAGGTTGAAAAAAAGTCAAAACAATAAAGATTATACAAGACAAGGCTTTTGGTCTAACTTTGATATAAGTCTATAATCCCAACTGGAATGGCAGATTTCATATTACCATCCTTTCTATTCAAATTGGTTAATTTCTTGGTTTAGGTTATACTCAATCAGCTAATATTTCAAACTGGATTGACAAACTCTAAAATTTGATTGAACCTTTAACTTCCTATTTGATGTTAACACAATCTGGATTAGTGACCTAATTATGGGAAAGAGTTAGGTTATAAGTCAAAAAGAAGACCACTAGGAAGATTTTTTACTGTTAGTATAGAATTTTCCTTACCTTATATTTACAAATAGGGAGTCATAAGCATAAACCAGGATATGAATTTATCTACTTAGTATAAGTTGGTATTCTGATAAAAAGGATGAGTAATATAAGTTAATATTAATAATAGTTAATAGACTATTCATATATAGATAATTGTGGTTTTAATTGATTTAACGATAAAATCCATATGTGTATTGCAACTTAGCCTTTCAAAAAAAAAAAAGTATTGAAAGTATTATTTTATTAATATATATGCAATATTAAATTTTATATTAAATATCTTTATAAACTATAGATTTATTTAATATTAATTGAATTTTGTTTTATTAAATTATTAGTACTGTTATGGTGATATATGGCAAGTCTGTCGCTTTTGTTTTTCCTATGTCATGCTATAATAGGGAATAACTCCTTATCAAAAGAGACGTATATATTTGACTTGAGTTTGGTAATGACACAGATTGATCCATCAATCTTGCATTACGAATAGTAACTTCTTGTATAATCACTTCTTGGTTAGTAACCTTCTCCAGGTGGATAGCCTTTTTGGATATCTCTTTTTTCTATATCATTATTTTACTTTTATACTTTTTATGTCTTATAATTTATATAACTTTATATTTGTTATTACTTTATACTTAATAATTACTTTATATTATTTGTTATTAGATAAATAACTCAAAATACCAGAATATATTAGAAATACTGGATACCTTAATAGATCTATCATATTTCTTTATATATTTTTCTCATTTGTGTTCATTTATTTATATAGTTTATTTTTACCTTAACAATACATATACTTTTTGAGTTACAAAGTTATTTTTTCATTGGTTCTTATATATATAACACTATTTAAATATTATAATAAAGTTATTTAATTGATTTTCTAAAAATTTATTTTATATAATTTATTATTTCTTAATTTAAAAATTAATATATCTAAATATCATTAGTATATCTTTTTTTTTAATTGAAATTTGATTGGATTTTATTTGGATTTTTACTAAGGATCCTAACGATTCTCTTCGATTCTGTATTCGATTCTCAAGTTTATATTAAATTTAATAAGTGGAGTATACCCCACCATCATTTTTAATAGTATTCCGAACCTTATGTGATTCTGTTCGATTCTATTCGATTCCAATTTTCGAAATCATAATTTTTACACAATTATAAAAAAAAAGAGAAATAGAAATTGATATAATATTATCTTTAGCAAATAAAACTTTATCTTAGTTTATTTTTTTATTTATTTTTTTTTTTTTGAGGGTTTCCCCTCATAGATAAGCATCATTTCTTTATTTGATATTGTATATAACATGATATACATCGTAAAAGAAACAATATCTCTTATGTACATATGTAGCAAGTTAAATGCTAGCCTGCCTACACAAACACATCTTGCTAATAACTCAAGAAAAATACAAATTAGAATTAGAATAGTATCCAA